GACCTCATAGTAAGAGCCAGATTGAATTCAGAACTTTAAGCCTCAATACTCATGTTGTCTTCATTTCTTTATCTGAAATTAAATGAGCTAATATGTAATCACAAGAATAAGTTGCAATTAAAAGTTCTTAATATATATTTCTACAAAAAAAACATAAAATTCCAAGTTTCTCACAATTATATTCTGAACCATCTGTGTTTTCTTTTTGAAATTTAATCCTCAGGAACAGGATCTGGACTTGGCACATTTCTTTTAAAGGTGCTTGCGGATGAATTCCCAGAAGTATACAGATTTGTGACTTCGATTTATCCTTCTGCTGAAGATGATGTCATTACTTCACCATATAATAGCATCTTGGCAATGAAGGAACTTAACGAGCATGCAGACTGTGTGTTGCCCATTGACAACCAAGTAAGAAATGACAGTGTAATTTATGGACATATTGCATGTAAATACAGTCATTCCTGTGTTATGCTTATATGTTTATATGAAACATTCTTTACTTTTCAGCCTTCCCAGTTAAGAGAAAAAATAAGTTTAAGTTGTTTTTCTCTTCTTTCTTTCCTGATAGAATGTCATCTATGTCCACTCTTTTTAATAGCTTCTCTCCCAATATTTCTCTCTTAAAAGTCTTTATTTGACATCATTAGCAAAATTGACCTCGTGGTGAATTCTGGAAAGTTGGGTACAGCTGTAAAGCCGAAGAGTCTGGTTACTTCAAATGCTGGGACTTTTAAAAAGCGACAGGAAAAGCCCTTTGATGCAATGAACAACATCGTGGCAAATTTGCTACTCAACCTAACAAGGTAATCCTAAGGGTGGTATATACATAAGGACAGTTTAAAAATTTCATGGTACTTCTACTGATGTTTGTAATAATTTTTTTTTTTAGTTATTCTATCTACTTTGTCGGAGCTTATTTTGTTTTTATTATATTTTTCTAGTAGTTTCAAATCTTGGAGTAATATACCAGAATTTTAATTTCTATAATTCCAAAGGAGCATTTCCCCAGGTCTATTTCATGGAATATTAATAGGTGTTAAAATAATAAAAGGTTTTGTGATAGTATACTTGAGAAACACTTGGGGATACAAAAGTAAATATTTTTTTTGCTATAGAATGTCTTAATCTTTAAAACCAGCTAATCTATAAATTTCTCATTAGCTGATTGAAAATATTTCCTTGACTTTGATCTAAAAGGTTGCTTTGGCATTATTATATTTCAAATTATAGAGCTTATTAAGCAGTGGAATTTAATAAAGCTTATAGGATAAATAAATAATTATTGATCTATATCTGTTTGACTCCATCTTAACTCTGTTTTAAGATATTTTTATGCCCTGGCCGGTTTGGCTCAGCGGTTAGAGCGTCGGCCTGCGGTCCCGAGAGACCCAATTCGGTTCCCGCTAAGGGCGCGTACCTCGGTTGCAGTTTGTCCCCAGCCCTGGTCGGTTGTGCGGGTGGCAGCCACTCAATGTGTTCCTTTCGCATCGATGTTTCTCTCTCTCTCTCTCTGTTCCTCTCTCTCCCTCCCACTCTACCTGAACAAAAAAAAAAAAAAGATATTTTTATATATGTAATAAGCAGCTCTAATAATAATGTGTTGGTTACACTTCAGATAAGCCAGAAATAAGAATTGTTATCGATTTTATGTTATATTTTAATTATCTTTATATATCTCATGTTTATGATACTAAATTTTACTAATACAGAGGGAAAAAGAGTGTATATCCTCTATGAAGAACAGGATGAAAGGATGTAATAAAATCCCTGCTGAATAAATCAAGCTACATTTAAAGCATATAATTTTAAAATTAAAATTTTTTCTCATGCTTTATGTTAATGTTTTAGTTCTGCTAGGTTTGAAGGATCCCTTAATATGGACCTTAATGAAATCATCATGAATTTAGTTCCTTTTCCTCAACTGCATTATCTGATGTCAAGCCTAACACCTCTGTATACACTGGCAGATGTTAACATTCCTCCTCGAAGGTAAGCTGAAGTAACTTTATTCCAATTTCTTGAGAACTTGCATTACCTTTTAAAAAAAAAAAAATTTAAGAAAAAAATTATATAGTAACTATTTCTTTATATCATTTTCTTTGTGAGAAGTATATAAAATACACTTAATGACAGCCATTTTTCCATTATATGAATGCTTCTTTATTTAGAAGTCATTGTTTAAAAACTATCAATATTGAACTATTTGAAATCAAATCTAATAACTAAATTTTTAAGTTTATGAAAATGAATCAAGGTATAAGAATTAAGGGCTTTGAAGTTTGACATACTTTGAAGTCTGAATCCTAATTCTCTCACTAGGTAGCAAATTTGCTCCTACTTCTCTTTTAGTTTTTCTCATCTGTAAAAATGAGAGTTGGCACCTACCTCAAACGCCTATTGGGTATATTAAATAATAAATGTTAGTTCTGTGCCTAGTTCATTTTTATCAAATGAAAACAATGAGCACATGAGTCTGGACGTTTTTTGAAATTTCATATTTCTGATGTAAATAAAGGTAAGTGTCCCAACAATTATAAATACTTGCTTACTAGTTTTTATATTTAGTGGCAAAGGATAAGTAAAGAATGAGTTTGACCACTTGTTTAGCAATTCTTAACCTTTTCTGGGTTTCCTTGACTCCATAAAAATTCCGGAAAGCACAGGCCCACCAAAATTTTGAGTATAGTAGCAGAGGAGTCATGAATCCCCCAACGCTCACCGTCTCCTAAGGGAGTCCTCTATCCTTTTTGATGTAGGATAATCAGGATAGAATATAGGCTCCATTAGAGTGGGAAGTTTTTGTTGGTGTTCACTGCTGGGTCTCTTGCACTTAGAATCATGCCTGGCACATAGTAGGCATTTAGTAAATATCTGTTGAATGAATAGGCAGCATAGTGTGATTTCTGTAGCTCTTCCCAGCCTTTCTGCAGATTCAGCACACATAGCCCTGGCTAGAGTTAGCTAAGGAACCTAATTATATTTGTATTGAATTAAGTGGGAACAGATTAAGGGCCTATAAGGCTGTGTACTGTTAGATATAAACTTTGTCAGTCACCCTTATCTTTCCCTCTTTAAAGGATTAAAGAATGAAGTTAAAAGACTTACTTCACTTAAGTCTCCCTTTTCAGGAACCACTACTATAGCATTTCATCTTTTATAGGAGAGCCTGACATTGTTCTTTGGTAGTTTCCTCTTGATTATCCCTAACTAATTTATGATATATTTTACAGTGACAAAGTAATTTTCTCTTAAAGTTGTAGGCTTTTCATTAGTTTTTATAGTTCTGATACTATGATGAGTATAATGAAATAAGTAATAATGACACAAGCTTCTGAAATCAGTACTTCATAGAGCCCACTAATGATAGTTAACATTTTGTAGTTACCTAAAACCACCAATATGTTGCAGAAGTTTTTTATTCTAAAAAAAAAAAAAAAAGATTTCTTCTGTTCTTGTATTCCATAAAGGTTGCTTTGAGAAAATTAGAGTGGACATTTAGAAAATATTTGTGTTTAAAATTTATTTACCTATATAGATGACTATCTTTTCATTTTATAGTTATACATAGAAGAAAGATGTAATATTTTGTGTAAACAGTGACTCTCATTGTTCTAGGTTGGATCAAATGTTTTCAGATGCCTTTAGTAAAGATCACCAGCTAATTCGGGCCAACCCCAAACATAGTCTCTACCTCGCCTGTGCCCTCATGGTTAGAGGAAATGTCCAGATTTCAGATCTTCGCAGAAATATTGAAAGGTTTGATTGTATACTTTTTCAAGATAATTTGTTATGTGTACTGCTTGTGACAGTGTAGCACGGTAGTTAGGATATTCTCTCTTCAAATTTTAGCATTGCCATTTAAGTAAAGTGTGACCTTGAGCAAGCTACTTAGCCTCGCTGAGCCTTATTGTCCTCAAATATAAAATAAAATTAGTAGAACAGAGTTGCTATTTACAAGTACTAAATGGTATATGTTTTATTTCCTGAAAGTGTTCAGAAAATTTAACTTATGTTTATTACCATCACTGCCACACTACACTACTTCTAATATGTTTTACTACTTAGTTATTAACTTCTATCAATTCTATTTTTAGAAAAAATACTCTCTTGAATTACAAAGTAAAGAAAATTATAATACTTTCATTTATTTTCATTTCTAGATTTTTAATGTTAAGGAATGTGTTTTTAGCTTTTTTAATCACCATTACATCTAATCTAATGTCCTTTTACTAAATGTCCCTTAGTTCCCTGTCAGACTGTACCACCATACTCCTAATAGTAAAAAATAGATAACTTACATTATAAACTAATGGTACTATCAGTAATGCAGTAATGTCCTAGTTTAACTAATGTGGGCTTTTTATTATGGCAGAAATTTTTAGTACCTTAATTCTTACCCTGAGTTTTTGTATCTCAGATTAAAACCTTCTCTCCGCTTTGTCTCCTGGAATCAAGAAGGCTGGAAGACCAGCCTGTGTTCAGTACCTCCTGTGGGCCATTCCCATTCATTGCTAGCTTTAGCAAATAACACATGTGTGAAGCCTACCTTCATGGAACTGAGAGAAAGATTCATGAGGCTTTACAAGAAAAAGGTAATTATCAGTAAACCTTGGTAACTGCGTGTGTTTATTTTGGCTATTTAAGATGTATTCCCAAGAATTATACAATTACAAATCAGGGTGGTCCTGTCTGCTGTATTCATTATACTGATTATAACTTAAGGACAGAGGCTTCCTCGGGCTACTCAATGAGACATCTCATGAGTTCATCAGATTTGAGTTCTCATTCCTCTTGTAAAGCTGAGTGCACTATCATTATAATAAAGAATGTTTACATTATAGTTGCATGTATTGTATTTCTTGCAAATAGTTAACATTATTCCATTTTTTAATTTACAGGCTCATCTTCATCACTATCTGCAAATTGAAGGGATGGAGGACAGCTGTTTCACAGAAGCCGTGTCTTCATTGTCAGCACTCATACAGGAATACAGCCAGCTGGACGCCACACAAAGCATGCCTGTGGAAGACTTACCTCGACTGAGCGTGGCTGTGTAAACAGAACCCAAAATGCTTTTACTTTTCTGAACTTCACATTGTTCTTTGTCATCTTACTTTTCTGCTTCAGAATTTTTGTGATTCAGAAAGCCCAGTTTGTGTTTCTCATATAGGAAATATTTTTGTTTGAAAGAGTAGTTCCATTAAATCACCATGTTGATAATACCAGTATGTGAAATTAGTCAAGTCCTAGTACCTTAACTTCAAACATTTTCTTCAGAAAATTCCCTTTTTCTAAAAGTGAGAGAATAGAGTTCTTCAGCATTTTGCTTGGTTTATACTCATATTTAGGCATTTATACAATGAGAATCAAGTCTTCAATAAAAATTTTATACAGCTATATTTTTATATTTACTTATAATTGATGTTTTAATATTGTTTAAATTCCTCTGATTCTTTAAAAATAAGTACAGGGTGTTGAAGACCACAGTATAAATATTTCTGAAGTTAGTGGAATGTTCACTGACTTCAGGGATAGGTTTTATTACAACTGATGAAGTTTTGTTCCTTCTTTTGATAACCTTGTTTGCATTCAAAAGACTCACAATTTACATTTATTTTAATATGTATTTGTATTAAATTATTTTTAAGTATAATGCTTTTTTATCAAACTAATTGATTTTGTAATAATAAAAGTCCATATTTTTAAACATTGCTACTTGTTATTGTTTTTGCTTGTCACCATTTTTACAGACATTATAAAGCTTGCTGTCATCTAAACTTTACAGTAAATGGCTGTCATAGTCTAGTTGAACGTGTTCTAGTTACTATCATCTCCAGTTATAATCTTTAACATTTATTTATCTTTAATTATAATTTATATTTCAAATCCATATGTGGATTTATCATTTCAGGAAATAATTTTTAAGAACAAATTATATTCAGACTGACATAATTTGTTGTGTACTTTCTTTAGTGTTACATTTTTTAAGTTCCTTTCATTTTCAGAGTGAGGATACTGCTCTTGGTCTTTATCTTGGAAATTTTGGTTTTTGTGGTATTTGGTATAAAACTTTAAATTACAATGGTCAACAGCAGCCAGTGAAATTCCATCTTCTCCTTCCCAAAGAAATCTTAGTCAGGATAGGGCAGTGGAAATTATAAATATGTTTACAGTTTAACCTTATTCCTATTTAAGAATTAATCTAGAATCTCGCTCACTCTATAATGATTACCATCTAAATGAAATCTAGGCTGCATTATCAAAGTGCAAATAAAGTTTTAAAATGCTTTTTACACATCTTCAGCAAAGTATTCCAGATTATTTTATAGAATAAACTGTTTCCTTATAAATTCTGTCGTTTTTCCATTATATATGGAAAATGTAGGTGTAACAAAGTATCTGTGTATATATAATTGCAAGATACATTTTAAAGTAAAGGTTCAATTTTAAGGTTTTCAAAATTTACATATATTTGTAGGAGAACCATTTTAAAATCTAATGCCTTAAATATAGTCATCTGAGAATAGCTAGGCATTCTTACTATTTTAAACCAGTAAGGTAGTTTTACCACCTTTTTAAAACCATGCTAACTTTCTGATGTAATGACATGATTGACTAACCTTAAGTTGTCCCCCATGTGCTTGGCTTTATAGAATCTTGAGTTCAGAAAATATATCTCCTGGATCTCTGCAGTTTCTCTGACATACACAAGATGTGATCCACAGCATCTTCCATTTAAATGACCCTTCACCTGGGCAATCAAATTGAATGGTAATCATTTTAGACTTATTAGGAACACAGCATCTCTTATCCAAACATATTCCACAGAAAGTGGGTTTATAACTCTGAGTGCTTGAACATCCAGAAAAGACGAATTTTTCAGCTTTGAAGAGTTGAAAGGTAGGTTGACACGTTTTTCCTTTGGGGATCTAAAAAGATACATAACATTAAGAAGCCATTCTTTACATTTGATTATAATAGTTTAGAGAAGTGATACTAAACAGAACAATTTTTTCGGTACATGCCCCTAGTGGGAACCAAACCCGGGACTCTCTGGTCCGCAGGCCGACACTCCGACCACTGAGCCACACTTGCCAGGCTGTCCTCCCTGTTCTTACTCCATCATGTTACAGGAATCACTCCCCAATAATTTTTGCTATCTGCCTTTTACCTACTTCCACAATAAATGAACATCTGTTTCATTTACTATCAAGAGCCATGTATTATTAAATGTTTGTTTACTTATAATTAGCAAATTCGCTTACACAACTCAGACCATTTTGAGTGGATGAATACGTGAATAAACATCTTAATCCCTTTAAAATTGAGTTATTAACTTCTAATAGTGAATAATTTGGGGATGAGAAGGGTTTTGTAGCATTTGTAAAAATTACTCTTGAGACAATCATCTTGTATAGTTCTAGAAGTAGGACCAAGTCTATAACAAATAATCTTAGAACATTTTATCATTGTCGTCTGACAAATCTAAGCACAAAGCATTTTGGAAATGGTGTGGTTTCCCCTCCAAGTGGATTATATATAACTAAGATCAAAACCTCCATGATGTCTATAAAGTCTGTTTTCATAATTATGTAACAACCAAAATCTTTCATTCATTTTGATTTCACTACATAAAATTAGTATAGAAAAAAAAGTTAGAATCTAAAAAGGATCTACTCTTAAAAAACAACATTATGGCCTGGACGGTGTGGCTCACTGGTTGAGTGTTGACCCATGCACCAAGAGGGTGCCAGTTCGATTCCCAGTCAGGGCACATGCCCAGGTTGTGGGCCCAATCCCCAGTGGGGGGCAGGCAGGAGGCAGCCAATCAATGTTCTCTTTCTATGTTTATATCTCTCTCTCTCCCTTCCTCTACCTCTCAAATCAATAAAGAGAAAAAAATATATTAAAACAAAAACAACATTATGTCCTGGGTTGTAAGTTTGATCCCCGACTTTGGTCAGGGTGCATGCAGGAGGCAACCAATTGATTTGTCTGTCACATTGATGTCTCTCTCCCTCCCTGCTGCTCCATAGCAATTCAGGCTGATCATGATCCACACTATTAAGCTGTTAGAGTATCTAACAGGTTAATATTACCTCTCTGCTTGGTACAATTACCCCCACAAAGTGCAGTTAGAGTTAAGACCTGCTTTCTGCTGAGATAGTTTGACTTTAAGAGTTTTAATAAAGTGATTTTATTTTTATGAAAACCAAACACTATTCATCCCTCCAAAACACATACACCTACACATATTTTTCAGAATTAATAGTGAATTATAATGAAGTTAAATCTAATTAAACTTACCTTGACTGTCTTTAATATAGTACTGTCACAAGGCTGAATATAACACAGTCTTTTCTCTTTTCTCATTTGACAGTTGTTATTTTCATTGGTTACCCTATTAGAAATTCCCATCCCACATGTTCTGGAGCAAGGGGTCCACTTTGTTGCTTGCACAAGACATCTTCTTTTCCAAGTAAGTGGGAGATTCCTAAAAGCTAAAATAAATGTACTCATATATATGTACTCATGTAGATAAATAATTTTTAAATATTTTAAGCTAATAATAGTTAATAGTTCTGAACCTCTATTTTTATATAATGTAACTCAGGATAAAATAAGCTTATGATATAATTCATCATTCTCCCACTCTCCAAATTACTTTTCAATCAAGTGTTAAAGTCCAATTTTTTAGGAAGTAAAACTCTTTAACTTTGAAAAACTGAGTAGATATACCCATTTGCTTCTTTCTGCTTAGCCCATCCTCTGGGTGCCAAAGCTTATGTTCTGATGGATATCTGCCTTTTCTCTGGTTCTTGCCTCATGCTTGATATTGCCAACAGACACTGAAATAGGCATTAGTAGGATTAGGGAATTGAAGATATCAATCAGAATGATGTGCTTTTAATGTTAAATTTCATATGTTAAAATATAAAAGTTATATTTGAGAAGTAAACTCTTGGTATTTTTCCTCCACTTATTTTAATCTTGTCTTTTAGAAAATACATTACACTAAACTAATCTAAATACTCATATGCTAAGTCATGGCAAATGTGTAATCTATTTTATTCATTCTCTGTGGTGTGAGGCCTATGGTATTCTCTCCATTGGCTAGCCATTTCAAATCACTTATAGGAAGACATGCAGAATGAACGGATGGATGAATTTATGGATGGGTGGGTGTGTGTGTAGATAGATTGAGCCCCCTCCACTGCCTGTTCCTTAGGAGAAACAAAGGAGGGGGGGTGAATAGTGAGAATATAAAAAATATAAAGAGGGCATAATATTCTTCCATCTCCTTGCAAATCTATTGGGAGCTTCATGTTCTACTCATGAATGAACCTGGACCTTGGTTGATTTTAAGCAAACTATAGATTGGTTTATTGTCTCAAAGCATTTTCTGAAGGTTAATATGCATCCTAAAATAGATGTTTTGGGAATAAAGTTGTGATGTGAGTTTGCAGTTGAACACTGCAAAATTCTGGCTACATTATTTCAAATTGTAAATTTCAAACTTGAAAAAGACACCCCCTCCAAATGCCTTCTTGATAGGAAACACCAGTCACGGAAGTATGTGCTATCTTTGAATAAAATGATACTGTGATACTGTTTCTGGTGTTATTACAATGGCATCTTGCAACTGCACACAGAACTGAGGCAGAGGAAGCAGAAACGCGAAGATACCTGGCAGGTAGACAACAGTTTAAAGACCTCAATGCAGGAAGCAAATTAAAAGCCTGGCACGCATCTGCAATAAATAAAGGTAGGTTAGGTATTGTATTGCTGATCACCCCACTTAAAGTTCAGCCAAGAGCTGCAGTTCAGGAATGTGCTTAACATTCGTTAAAAAGCAAGAAAACGAGAAGAGATTTTTAAAGTAAAAGTTTAGTGTTTGGTGAAGCAGTGGAGAAAAGCATGGGGCATCATGTCATTGCATGCTTCAGACTGACCAAGCAAAAGCTAGAGTCTAATCATAAACCACCTGGAATTAACTATGTATATAAAGAACTATCACAATTATACTTTAAAGTGGGTGTTTGTCACTGTGCTTAATTTTAAAAGCCAAACTCCTGTTTGGGCCCCCAAGTATAGTTTCACAGCTAAGCAGAGGAGAGGTATTAGAACATACACTTCCTTTGACAGATCTAGGTCCAGCACTCAATCACCAGAGAGATTTTCTCAAGGTTTTTTGTTTTCTTTTGTTTTTGTATCAAAGCACTAACCACTAAGAGTGACTCTCTGACACCTCCAACCCGGCTCCAAGCGAATCCACTGAAACTGCTCACTCTACCAATGTGACCAGCTTGAAGTCTATCCAAAGGTCTGTACTTGTGGCAAATTGCTGCTCTAAGGTGGGCTCTCTCCAAAAAGGTTCTAAGAACTTGTATCGAGTCGCTCAGACACAATGCAGAAAACCAACTGTTCTTGTACTTTCTGAAACAGAATAATTTAGCTTATAATTTTAGAACTTTGAGAGCACTAGTAGTGTCATGCATACATAACTATGTATGCTAAATGCAAATTTACTACAGCCTATTAAATATTTTTCAAATTAATGAGCATAATTGGAATCCCTGAGGATGTTCTTTTCATATAGATGGTTTTTAAATTTCTAAAATTCATTTCTCTGGTTAGAGTTGCTTTTATTAAATATCCACATAATATAAGTGAACTTAGGAGTTTTTAGCATAAATATTTCCTTGGCTCCTTTCATTCACTAAGCTCTAAATAAGAAAAAGGTGCTGATTTCTGGATAAAAGCCCTTATGTGACTAGTAACCAGCCGTCAGTTTTGCACTTTCTAAGTCCTTCCTTATCTGTGCTTCATCTGCTGGTGCTTTCGAAACTCCCATCCCCAAAATACCCCAGCATTGAAATAAGATGCTATCTTAGAGCCGACCAGAACACCAAGTTTGTGAATATACCGACACTAAATGGCCAGGTGTTCAAGATGAGAAACAGAGAATCTCATTACATGTTCCTGACTACATACATACCTGGGCAACCTACTTAAGCAAGCCTAGAAAATTTTTAAATCAGTAGTTGCCTATTTTTAGAAGTAACATTTATAAATTGAAAACATGTCCTCAAATATTTTTCATCAGTAGCCATCCATTTCTGCTTTTCTCATCTAGAAAAGTCGCCTTGGAAATTTTTTGGAACTGGATGGTTCACACTTCTTGCCCATGATATAACAATACAAATAAAAGTTTTTCCAGAGAACATATGAACATTTGGTCAGTTTTCCTGAGAAGAGGTTGAGTGGGAATAAGCAGAGTAAGAGTTTTCTTGACCTAGTAGAGCTTTTTAAAACTAGAATATTTTATTGGAAAAAAAACAAAAACATTACAAACTTTCCTTTTCAGATACTTAGAACATACCTGCCTGAAACAGAGACTGATAGCACACTCACTAAATCACACTGACCGCCAATCAGGAAGTACTTACTGAGTACCTAGGACCGATAAAAGGAATGTGAAGTAAAGCTGTAAGGTCATACATGAAAAACAGTTCTACTTATGAGCACCTGGCATTGTTTTGTGGGCTGTTGAGAGCTGCTGTTGTAATGGTCCCAGGCCACAGTTGGGTTGATCTGATTTCTTTCCACCTTTAGCCCCAACACAGTGGCTGTCAGCCAGCTTTGGTATGAACAGAGGTGTGCATCCAATGGCCCCGCTCACACAGAGGCAGCTAAACAGGGGGTTAGGCTGGAACATTTGGCCGTTATGATAATGTACCCTGTTGAACTCGCATCCCACAGCTACAAGGTCTGAAAAAAGAAGAAAGCAGAATCACCAAAGAAGCCGTGATTGATAGTCTAGCCCTCCCAGTACAAGCCATAGGGGAAACAGCTATCTCCTTTACAAAGCATAGTTCTCGGTTTCTCGGACCCCATTTGGAACCTCCTTCACAGCATCTGTAAAAGGTGAAAATGAGACATTATCCTTACACTGTAGGCTCTCAGCCTCAAATGGTCTCTTCTAGAATTAAGACCCAAGTACGGGCCCTGTTCTGGAGTAAAGTTAATAAAAAATCACTATGAGTATAGCAGTGAGATCAAGATTGTAAATCTGAGAGATGAGCGGAGGGCTGGTGAGACTGAGGTTTCCCAGGTGTCCAGCCACAGGCTAGGATATATTCTTAGGAAGTTAAGACATGTGAATAGCTAAAACAATTATAATTGGTTTAACTACAGTGCTGCATGGTAACTGATTTTTTTGTTAAGAGAACTAAAGGAAACGTTCACTTGCTCGGAGTGAGATTCTTGACCTGGATGGGCAGTTTTCAGCGTGTAGCCCACGCACACTGAGGCAATGCCTGAGGCCCTTTCAGATGATCTGCAGGGTGAGAACTCTCAGAGTAGTACTGCGCTGTGACTGATGTTTTCACTCTGTTGATATTCACACTAAGTGCACTAATCACTGTATTTTTCCTTGCCTGCACTTGTACATAAATGCACTTGAACAATAAAAAAAAAGCTACTTTTAGCCCTGGCCGGTTTGGCTCAGTGGTTAGAGCGTCGGCCTGCGGTCCGGAGAGAACCGGGTTCGGTTCCCACTAAGGGCACGTACTTCGGTTGCAGTTTGTCCCCGGCCCTGGTTGGTCGTGCGGGTGGCAGCCACTCGATGTGTCCCTTCACGTCGATGTTTCTCTGTCTCTCTCCCTCCCATACTCTATCTGTACAAAAAATGGAAAAATATCCTCGGGTGAGGATAAAAAAAAAAAAAAAAGCTACTTTTACTTAAGAATGTCCTTGATGACACAGTAAATATTGCAAATGTCATTAAATCTTAACCATCGAATACATGTCATTTTAATATTTTTTTTGTGACAAAATAGGAAGTATACACAGAACATCTCTGTAGGCATTGTACCAAGTACAATAGTCATCTTAGGGAAAGCACCTATGCTGCTGTCTGAGTTGTGGGCCAAACTAACCACTTTTAGTGGGAATTTCACCTGAAGAAATGACTGACAGACAATCTGTGCTCATTCAGACTGGGTATTCAGCAGACATTTTCTTGAAAATCAGCAAAGTGAGGCTGTCACGTCAAGGAAAACAACTGACAGTATTTATTGCCAATGATAGAATTCAAGCTTTCAAGCAAAATTAGAATTTTTAAAAACTTGTATTTACTTCTCAGAATTTTATAGCTACCCAATATATAGACTTTACTGATAAAATTAAGATTATGTGATTTTTAAAATATATAATTACGTGTATCATTTGGAACATCTATATAACCCATTGTTCCAAACTGACATTTTCCAAATAACCAATGCCCAGTACAGAATTATGCATGAGCAAAAGACCCATTCCCAGCAGGTCTTGGACGGACCAATGTATTTTAATGTCACAGACTGACTCTGAGGTGATTCACTGATGTGGTTTCAGATTCCATGATGTAGCTAATTTTTAAGAAACTACCACTTTTCAAGTTTTAATATAATATTAAAAATTAATATTCACAATTATCTGAAAATACTGTTAAAATATTTTTCCCTTGCCCTGGCCAGTATGATTCAGCGGTTAGAACGTCAGCCCGAGGACCAGAGGGTCCTGGGTTCATTTCCAGCTAAGGGCATGTACCTTGGTTGCAGTTTGTCCCCAGCTCCAGTTGGGGTCGTGTGGGTGGCAGACGCTCGATGTGTCTCTCTCACATCAATGTTTCTCTCTCTTTCTCTTCCTCTCCCTCTCCCTCCTGCTCTATCTGAAGATAAATGCAAAAAAAAAAAAAAAAAGTCCTCGGGTGAGAATTAAAATATATATTTCTTCCTTTTCCAATAATATATCTGTGTGAGGCTGGATTCCCTTCATATATTTCATCCAAAACATCAGGTAGCCATAGACTGGAAGCACACGCAGATGGGAGAATCTAGCTATCTTCTGTTAAGCTAGCCATTAGATTTGCAAAAATGTAAAACAATCCCACTCTTCTCACTAAATGTTTCTTTGTCATGGAAAATAATTTTTTTCATAAATTATATATATTCCTATTAATTTACACTTTTTAAAAAATCCTCACTCAGAGGATATTTTTCCATTGATTTTCACATAGAATGTGGGGGGATGGGGGAAGGGAGAAAGAGAAGCATCCATGTGAGAAAGAGACATCAGTTGGTTGCCTTGGGGCCAGGGACCAAACCTGCAACCGAGGTTTGTGCCCTTGACTGGGGAATCAAACCCGCACCTCTTCAGTCACTGGGCCATGCTCTAAACCACTGAGCCAAACCAGCCAGAGCTGTTTTTGTTATTTTCAAATAAATTAGCAAAATGTTTAAATTTCTAATCTATTAAATACCAGTAAAGATAATTCAAGCAGAAGCTCTTTGGGTCTCCTCTTTAATTTCTAAGACTAAAGGGATCCTTGGACAAAAAATTTAAAAAAAACATTTATCGATATCATTGATCAGAGCCATAGTTTGTGAGCCTAGTTATAGCTCATCCCCATGCCCAACCTCATGGCTATGCTCTGTTAAAATATCCATCACAGTATGTGAAATTATTTGTGGAAAGATTTGTCTGAGATAATAAACTTGGACTCTGTGAGGGCCGGGCCTGAATCTTCCCCCACCCCACCCCACCCCACCCTCTGTGTTCCCAGCTGCTGGTCACAAAATGTTTGTTAGGTTAATTAAATAACTTACCCAGTGCTGTTTGGAAGAAAGAGGTATCCTGAATGCCAGAGTCTGATAGGTCATGTTTTCCCTGTCAAGTTTCCACGAGTAGTAACTAACATTTTTGAGAGTCTGCTGCATATCAGATATTGGGCTAGGTGTTTTGGGTTTTGTATCATTATTCTCATTTGATCTTCCTAGCAACTCTATAAGGTAGGAAGTAAATAATCATGTAACTGAAGCACAGAGAGGTTAAACATGATCAAGGTCACCCAGCAGATAGAGTTCAGATTTGAACCCACAGCCTACATCTTAACTAATATAACATAGAGCCGACAGGGGCATCAGGCGGTCAGACTCAAATGGCTCTATACATTCAGCCTGTCTCTTAAGATGTGCTCTCATTCCATGCTCGTGACCAAAGTTCTGGGAGTCGTTTGTCTTCCCACTTGGGCTTTTTTCTACAGTGACTAAACTGTCCAGCTAAGGTGAATATTTCTTCTCCCTTAGAAATCTTATTTCTTAACCCTAAGTAAGTCGACATCCTGAATTACTGTCAAGATGTTGTAGGTTTAGATGGTCTCAATCAGACTCCAGAGCTAAGACCCGTAAAGCTGAGGATCAGGTTATGATTTGGGGTGTCCCTTCCTTCTTTTCTACAAATCTGCTCCAGTAAGAAGTGCAGTAACCCGATGGTTACTTGGGAAGGCTGAGATTAAAGCAGTATGTCTGAATACTAGATACACAACCTTACATTTTAAGCAAGATTACTTTTTAGTTATAGAAAAGGCTGAATTCAGAGTCTTCTGGCACTATAACAAAAGCTGTCATTTTGTGGCACTTTAAGAAATCAGACTCCATTTACATAATTTCTTGTATTTTAATCATTAAAAGCAATTACCTGAGAAGAACTGCAAGATCATTTCAATACAATTAAAGTAACTAGTTTCTGAACGTGTGTAAACATCTGTTAATTTCACATGTTGTCTAAAATGACAAAGCCGGTCCCGTTGGTGCGTGAAAACCAAAACCACCTTACAGTTAGCTGATTATTCCAAATTAACAGTTGCAGAAAAAATATCCAGCAGGTCCAGAAGAAGACACTTACATGCACACACTCCAGTCTCGTACCTAGGCCTGTCTGCTGAGTAGTCACAGTACAGCCCTTTGTGTGGGTCGCAGAGGTCAGCTTCATTGCAGATGTCCCCCGGTTGCTTGGCACAGATTTTACAGCATCCACAGCCATCCCTCACCAAACTCACTCCAGGAGGGCAGCTGGGCTTCCGAGGGCACGTACAGGGCCAGTGACAGAACTGTTGACGGCGATGCACTTCTGACACTTCTCCAGGCCTTCCTTCGGGAGCCACAGCTAACAGCCCAGGGCCCTGTGCCCTGCCGCAGAACTTCATTTGATAATAAAGAGGAAGTTAGAAGTGATTCCGCAAACCAGTTTCAGAGGTTTGATAGAAATAGATGTCCCCCAGATTGGTAGAACACAGTGCGGTGAATGATGATAATAACATCTCAGTATTTGACACAGTCACCGTCACCCTAAATCTTCACTCAGCTCCCAGCACATCACTTTCTCACTCCTCCTGTCTCACTGACTGCTCCTTCCCAGGCTCCTCTGCTGGTTTCTTCTCATCCTCTTCATTTCTAAACATCGGAGTCCCCTAACCATATCTGCTATCGCCCACCCTGACCTCTCTTCTGAACTGACTCAAACTGCCTGCCTCACAGATCTCCACTTAGATGTTTGATAGGCACAGCAAATTTAACATGACCAAAAACAAGCTCCCAATTTCCCTTCCAATCTACTCTTCCACACACCCCTATCTGAGCAAATGCCAATTTCATTTTTCCAAAATACCTTGGAGTTAGGTCATTCTTTACTCTTCCAAACTCATCAGTATATCCTGTTAATTATATCTTCAAAATATACCCGCTCTAATTATTTCTTAATAACCCCACTGCTACCACAGTGACCCAAGCCACCATTATTTTTCACTTAGATTATAATAGGCTCCTAAAGATTCTTCGTGTTCCCCTTTTGTCTTCTATATTCTCCACCCAGAAGTGTTGTTCTTTTTTTTAGACGAGCAAAAATAAATAAGTGAAATTACATCAAATTAAAAAGCTCTACACAGCAAAGGAAATAAACAACAAATGAAAGGGCAACCTACATAAAGGGAGAAAATATTTGCAAACTATATATCTAATATATCAGGAATTCATACAACTCAATGGCAAAAAATAATAAACCAATTAAAAATGGGCAATGGATCTGAATAGACATTACTATAAAGAAGACACACAAATGGACTTCAATACATGAAAATGTAATCAACTAATCATCAGGGAAATGTCAATCAAAACCACACCAAGATATCACCTCACACCTGTTAGGATGACTATTAATTAAAAAAAAAAAAAAGGTAAATAGGTAAGTGTTAGTATGTAGAGAAAAGAAAACCCTGATATACTGTTGGTGGGAATATAAATTGGTACAGCCATTACAGAAAATAATATGGAGCTTCCTCAAAAAACAACTAAAAATAGAACTATCATGTGATCCAAGATTTCACTATGGGTATTATCCAAAGAAATTGAAATCAGGATCGCAAAGAGATACCTGTACTCTGTATTTCCATGTTCATTGCAGCATTATTCACAATAGCCAAAATATGGAAACCTAAATGTCCATTCATGTATGAATAAATAAAGAAAATGTGATATATACATAAAATGCAATATTATTCAGCCTTAAAAGAGAAGAAAATCAACATCATGAATGGGTCTGAAGGACATTATCTAAGTGAAATAAGGCACATACAGAAAGACAAATACTGTATAATCTCACTTATATGTAGAATCTAAAATAGTCAAACTCAGAAGCTAAGAGTAGAATCGTGGTTGCCAGCATCTGAGGTGCAGGAAATGGGAAGGTGATAGATAGTCAGAGGGGATGAAGTTTTAGTTATGCAGGATAAATAAGTTCTGGAGATCTACATAGCATAGTGCCTGTCACTAACAATGCAGTATTGTATACTTAAAGTTTGCTAAGAGAGAGAGCTTATGTTAAATGTTCTTACCACACACATAAAATTAATAATAAAGGGGACAGAGGAGACTTTGGGAGGTGATAGATATGTTTATGGCCTTGATGGTGGTGATTGTTTTACAAGTATATACTTATCCCCAAAATCATCAAATTGTATACATTAAATACGTACATCTTTTTACATGTCAATCATACCTCAATTCATGTCATTCCTTGCTTGTGGCTTTCCATTTCAATGTAAAATCCTAACTACCCTCCAAGGCCCTGTGGCCTCTTGTCTCCACTCCGTTTTACTTTGCCCACAACCACTCACCCCATCGCTGGCTTCACTCCAGCCACACTGGCCTCCTTGTTCTTGGACTATTCCAGCTATGTCCTTCCCCCAGATATCTTCCTAGCTCTCTCTTTCCTTCCTTTAACTGTGTTCAAATGTATCAGTGAGGCCCTTCTTGACCACCCTTCATAAAATAACACTCTACCCTAGCCTTTTCCCCAGGGACCTTCTAACTACCTATTTCATTACCTATATATTTTAATTGTTTATTTTCTGAGCCACACATCAAGAATTTTGGCTTCTTGGGGCAAGCTCTTTGCCTAATGTCTGTCTTGTTGTTGGTAACAAATATGTATTGAATGAAAGAGCATGGAACTTGTCTGTATGCCAAGTACCTTACATGTTTATATCATTTAATCTTTACAACAACAGTAAGGTGTAGTTATTATCTCTGTGTGATAACCACGATAATGATCCCCTCAAAGATGTTTATGTCCTAATGAAAGAGATGAGGATTAAAGAGTCAAATGCCTTAGAGAGGGGGCAAGGGGAGGACCCAGAGACTCCATGAACAGAAGCCTGGCTGAGAGTCCCTAGGGACCATGGCAGACCCTGTGCAAACTTGAGAAGTAGGCACTCCCTATTTCTAGCCTCACTATTTCTACTCCCTTCTCCACTTTTGTATTTTATTTTCTCTGTTCATGGCTTTCATGACACCAGGCCCTACCAGTTCTACCTCTGCCTCTCAAAAAACTTTCTGAATATCTGTAAAGTTTCTCGCTGAGGAAGAAAGAGAAACAGATCCGCAAGAACGTTTTATTGGAGCACTCCTGGGCGAGGTTCGCTGGTCCAGGGTTCGGGCCAAGGAAGTCATGCTGTTTTGTCCGCCCAGGAATGTTTTATAGAGGAGGTAAAGGAACAAAGAGAGGGAGGTATTTGATTGGTCGAGGGGTAAGGTGGGTGATTCTGCATCAGCTGCATTCGGGTAGGCTAGAAAGTCCTAAGTTAGGTTTTGATTTCTCCTCGGGCCACCTCTTTCTCCGGAGTCATGTGACTCCTCGGAGCCCGCCGACCTTACAATATCCTTTGCAGGCTCCTGTTACCCTGAATTCGATCTAGATTTAGATTTATTGGTGTTTCATGACCTTAACGTATTGCTTTTTTCACTCTGCACACTGTCTCCTGGCAATCTTGTCCACCGCCCTTGCCTTCAATTTCCACCCTGTGCAAGCTTCGAAACTAAATTTTCATCCAGGATTTCTCCACTGAGGTCTAGACCCACGTAGCTGACTGTCTCCTGGACATCTCCACTGGACTATCCTACAGGAAAAACTCATGTCCAAAACTTATCATCCCCTCTTCCACCCCCAGACAGCTTCTCCCAAGTTTAGAGTTAGGGAGCTGAGAGTCATCCAGGTCATCTTCCTCTCCCTCACCTCCCATAACCATTCAGTAACGAATCCTGCTTATTGTCCTCCTATCCCTAGAACTTCTCACTCTTCCCCCATTTTTACTGCTACTAAGTACTGTTGCAATAAGTTCTTAACTGATCTATCTCAAGAATAAGTTCTAAGATAAATCTGCCACATCGCTGCTAGAGGGAGCTCTTTAAAAGCATATCTGATTTTACAGAGAGATGCAAATTTAAACAACAATGAGGTATCACCTCACAACTGTCAGAATGGCCACCAACAACAAATCATCAAACAACAAGTGTTGGCGAGGGTGTGGAGAAAAGGGGACTCTAGTACACTGCTGGTGGGAGTGCAGACTGGTGCAGCCACTATAGAAAACAATATGGTGTTACCTCAAAAAATTAAAAATTGAACTTCCATTTGACCCAGTGATCCCACTTCTAGGACTATAACCTAAGAAGCCTGACACACCAATCAGGAAGAATATATGTACCCCCATGTTCATAGCAGCACTATTTACAATAGCTAAGATCTGGAAATAGCCCAAATGTCCATCAGTAGACAAATGGATAAAAAAGCAGTGGTACATATACACAATGGAGTACTACGCAGCTGTAAGAAAGAAAGATCTCTTATCCTTTGTGATGACGTGGGGGGATCTGGAGAGTATTTTCCTAAGTGAAACAAGCCAAGCAGAAAAAAACAAATATCACATAACAGTCTGAGGAACGGGGTAGTCCCAGAGATGTAAAAGTGGGGTACAGACTGATAATCCCCAGAAGAGGGGGTGGTGGGGGAGAGATAAACCACAGAACTTACATGCATGTATGCATGAACAGTGGGCATGGACAACAAAGCTGGGGACAGGGTAGGGAGAGAGGAGGAGGGGGGGAATCAGTGGGGGGGAAAGGAGAAACATCTGTAACAAAAATAATTAATTAAATAAAAAAAGAAAAGAAAAGAAAAGAAAGCATATCTGATTTTACTATTCCTCTCCCTAAAGCCCATCAGCGGTTCCTCACTGTCTACGCATATAGTCCAAACTTCTGAGAATGGTCTCTAAAGCCCTGTCTATGCCGGTGCATGCCTTTCTCTCTAGCCTTAGCTCTCAATGCACTCTCCTCCTATGACTTGCAGCTTACTGGACTCACTAGTTGGTTTTCTCCTGTATGGTTTTCTTCATATTGCTCCTTTTAATGAAAAGCCCATTCCTCAAACTGCCCACCTGGGAACACCTGTTTGTCTTTCCAGTCTTGAAACATTTCTATATAATCTCTGAGGACACAACGTAACACTACTGAAAACCAAGGATAGAGAGAAAATCTTGAAAGCAGCCTGAGAAAAGGAAAGCATTATATACAAGAGAATAATAAGAATGAGATCTGACTTCTCATCAAAAGAAGACCAAGGTGTCCTTCAGTAGGATAAACTGTGGTACAGCTAGCCAATGGAATATTATTCAGTGCTAAAAAGAAATGAGCTATCAAGCCATGAAAAAAAACATGCATATTACTAAGTGAAAGAAGCCAACCTGAAAATTCTACATATGGTATGATTCCAACTAAATGACATTCTGGAAAGGGCAAAACTATGGGGACAGTAAAAAGATCAGTGATTGCCAGAGGTTGAGGGAAGGGGTAAATAGGTGAAGCACAGAGGATTTGGGGGCAGTGAAAATACTCTGTATAATACTATAATGGTGCATATATGTCATTAATCATTTGTCTAAACCTACAGGATGTACACCACCAAAAGTGAACCCTAAATAACTGTGGGCTTTGGGTAATGATGTATCAATGTAGGCTTATCAGTTATAATAAATGTGGTGGGGAAATGTTGATAGTGGGGATGATGATAGTGGGGGGGCATGTTGATAGTGGGGGGAATGTTGATTATGGGGGGATGTTAATAGTGGGAGGATTTGTTAGTGGGAGGGTGTTGATAGTTGGGGGGAATGTTGATTGTGGGGGGATGTTAATAGTGGGGAAGACTATGTATGTGTACAGGCAGGGGGTATATGCAAAATCTCTGTACTTTCCTCTCAAATTTTCTGTGACCTTAAAACTGCCGTAAAATACACACACACACACACACACACACACACACACACACACAATTGTCTTTAACAAAGAAATAAAATAAAATAAAATAAAGGAGGAGGAGGAGGAAGAAAAGAAGAACAAAATGCCCAGAGACAATACTGAAAGAAAAAAAATAAAATAACTGTCACCCTGGAATTCTGTCTCCAGTGAAACTACCTTTCAAAAATGAAGATGAAATCAAAGACATTTCCAGATAAACAAAAACTGAGAAATGTTTGCGAACATGCCTACCTTGCAAGAGATGCTAAAGGAAGAGCTTCAGTCTGAAGGGAAATGACAATAGATAGTAATTCAGAAATACAGGGAAAAATAAAGTCTCGGAAATGACAAATATGTGGGTAAATATAGAGAACTGTATATTTTTTTTCTCTTCAGGCATTGGTTGTTTTCAAAATGAAAATCTCAAAACCACAGTCATCAGAAGGGGCAGTAGAAGGAGAGTTGACAGCAAAGCTGAGCTTCGGGAGAGCTCTGTGATCTCAGATAACTTCTCCCATTTATTTAATCTTTGAGCCTCAGTCCTCCTCTGTAAAATGGGATTAATAATAACCACCCTATCAGGTTAGCTTGAGGATTGAGACAACGACTAAAGTACCTAGCAGAGTGGTTGGCACAGAAGAGATGTTCAATAAATGGTAGGTATCATCAGAGCCATCAAAAATTTATAATAGCAAAATAATACTTCCCTCTTGCTCTGTCTATAACACCTCTTTACATTTGTTTTTGTTTTTTGTTTGGGCTACATCTGTGTTGTAGCTCTCAATCCACAGTAACGGCAGTACTTTTCTCAAGAATGGTGGGGTGGGAGACAGGTAGCCCATCTCACTGCTGGAGAATGTGCCCCTTTTCAGAACGCTGCCACTGGACAAACTACCACTGAGATGCTCGTCATGATGCCTTTCAGATCTTAAATCTCTCCCTATGTAATATAATGATTTTCAACCCCTTGTTTTCTGAGGTACATCTTCTCCTTACCACCCCAGTCAAGTGTTAAATCACAGACGTCTGTTTGCTAAATCACCAGATTTCAAAAGCTCTGTCTTCTGCCCAAGCACAAACCGTCACTATGTAAATAAACCCACAAGCAATTCACCCTGTTTTAATCTTCGTATTAAATAACACGAAGGCAATGAATTGGTCATACTAAATTAAACTTCCCTTTGGTCTGTTGCTTGAAATATTCCAAAGTCTCGATGGACTGATTCCCTTTCATGACAAGTGAGAAACACATGGGTTGAGAAGAGACAAAGTCATAGAATGTTTTCAAAAGATAAATGTTTGTTCCAAAGTGCTCCTTTTAAACAAGAACAGACTATACTGAAGAAAGTGATCAAAATCATTTTTTCCAGTGGCTCCCTGCCCGTTCTGCACACAGCCACGGGAAGCTGAGCCGCGCCTGGAGCCCACATGAAGCAGCATGGTTCACCCCACCGCGCCGCAGGGCCGCGGCCTCCCCGTGCGCGCTGTGTGTTATATTCCAACAAAAACATCTACATGGCTCAAGTTTTGGAGCTGTTCAAACATATCGAAAGTCGAATTAAGTGCCATTACCTGAAAGGGAGAAATGTTTTCCACTTCTTTGCTGAAGCTAATAAACCGAAACAGAACTTTATTTGGAGAGGAAAATGGCTCCCTATTTCTCATGAGGCATTTACCCTCTCCTCTTCCCCCATCTTCTTCTTTCCTGTTTTTGATCTGAAAAAAATAAGAGCTGCTGGAGTCTCCCGAAGGGAAGGAGGAAGGGGAGAGAGCTCACCTGCGCCAGAGCCGCGAGGAGAAAGGTGCGGAGGAGGAGCCCCTGCATGTTCCCAGGACTGCGGCAGGACCAGAGATGGGGCCAGGCCCTGGGGCGGCCGCACAAAGCTCCCCTCTGTCTCCCCGGCAGGAGGACTGCGCGCCTCCACCTCCCCGCTGCTGCCCGGCCCATGCTCTCAGGCTCCGCTCCCTTCACACATCTGCTCTAATACCTTGTTTGTTTTCATAGGACTCTTCTCATATTTGCCTCTGCTCCTGGAGTGTCATGAGGGCAGGAGCATTTTCCTCCCGGGACAAAGGTGACTTTTCTTTCAGTGAAGGTTCTACCTGTTCCTACGGATCAGAGTCTGCTTGTGGGCGAATGGTGAGGATGCTTCCAGCTTCCTTACCCGCAGCCTCCGGGGTCTGGGTTTGCCCTGCCCTGCCCCCCACCCCCACCCCCGTGCCCTCCAGCACTGGGTGCCGCCTGGCCCCTGCCCACAGCGCCTGCTCCAGGTTCTCCCCTCACATCAACAGCAGGTTTCCAAACTTCCCTGACTCCTCCAGCTTCTGATTCTCCCCCTGCTGCCCCCCAGTGCCCTGGACCCACCTTTATCCCAGCACATTTCTCACACCAGATGGAAATGTAGATAGAACAGGAAGGGGGGCACCTATAGAACCTGGCCTGAGAAAGTCCCCTTTCTGTGGCCACAGTCCCAAGATAGCTAGGAGTAAAGTTAACCCCACTCTTTTGGGGGCTAAGATAAAACAATATGCTAATAGCAACCGTTCATTTAATAAATTAGGATTTTTAAAAATTTATGACAGATTTGTACCCCTTCTCCTTCTAATTCTCTCCTCCCTGGCATGTGGGCCACCCCATCTTCTCCTGTGTCTAGCCATGTGCGACCTTTGCTCACCCCACTTAGGCAACCTTGCTTCTCGTTCGAGCATCTTGATGTACATCTGTGATAGGACTTTGTCTTCTTGTGGATCGAGTTTCTGGTCCCTTTCCACCCCCTCCCAGCACCTATTTCTCTCCCTTTGACCTGTTACCCATCATACCTTTTCCTGTTACCTGAGCTCTCCTGGACACACTGCCCACCTTTGTTTCTGTCCCAGGCAGTTGGCTGTATAAAGACAGTAAGAAAAGCTCCCTCAGGCCTGTGCCGAGGGTCTGGGGAAAACTGGGCTTTCTGCCAACAACAGGGAATCTGGGGTCCTTGGGGAGCCAACGACTCCACAAAACAGGCAAACACACTTTAGGCAGCTAACTACGTTGTTAATTAAACCATGATTATACAGACCAAACAACAAAGACTATCCAGTGTAGTTTTATGGTGTCAACTCCGCATCCTGCCTCCCTATTAAATAGGATAAAACCCAAGAATGGCCTAATGAAGCAAAATGTGTCTGTTTTGATCCAATCTGATCAATTTCTTTCTGGTTTAACACCATTTGACTGTTAGGTTCCCAGCCTCTGCGATTCAGGCACCACCCTGTTCACGAGGATGGATCATTTCTCACTTCCTTGCTGGTCCATCAAACGCAGAAGCGTCTCAGCCCCGGACTCGTGTCTTCATCACCTGCGTCCCTCCTGCCAGCCCTCGCTGTTCCAAATGTGAGGCTGCACACATCGGTGCACCATCTGAACTGAGGAGATGCACGCTGCTCTCCTCGCTCTCTGGGAAACGAGCAGCAGCCTCTGTCCTGGGAACAGCTTCCCTCCCTCTGCTTTGTCTGTGCCACAGGCAGGGGGAGGTGTCATACCCACCATCCTCGCCTCGTGGCAGAAAAGGACCATCTTAGCTGAGAACCAACTTGTAAAACCTCCCCCAGGGCACAGAATTGCTGGGTTGTTTGCTGTCACGCGTGTTTAGGCATCTCCAGCCATAGGCGTGCTCTCATTAAACCACCCCAAGCCCAGGGCGGGGGGGCCACGTGCGCGTGATACTTTCGGAGGCTGGACTGCCATCTTTGACTGGACAACACGAGCGTCCTCAGTGCGCCTCCTGTTCTCAGCACTGTCCTCCGCAACCTCACTTAACAGAAGCTCATCTGCAGAGGAGCTCATTTCACAAGTGTTCAGCTTGTTGGGGTACCTTCAGATAGACATGGTACTGAGCATAACTAATATTTACATCATGTTTTATGATTTACAAGGAAGTTTCATATGTATTATCTTTTTTTTTAATTTCACAGCTCAGTGAGGTAGGCAAAGGCAGTATTACCTCCTTCATTTAACAGATTAAAAACTTGAAGTTAAGTGATTGTACTTGGTCAATAAAACACTTAATCCCTGCCCTCTAGAGCTATGTAATCTACTGGGTGAGAAGACATGAACAAAGACACCAAGAAGTAAATTGAATAAAGGCTAATAATAAAGAACGAGAAACTGTGAGAGAGAAAGACATATAGGAACTAGTTGAGATGAGGGGCCACAGAGGACATCTATGAGGAAACGTCACAGAGAGTTGAGAGAGGAAGCCAGTGGCAGAGGTGGCAAGGACTACTGGTCTAGCGCTCTTTCCACTGGCCAAGTGCCCACCTCTGATGGTGCCGAGCTCCCTGCAAAGGGCACATCCCACTGCCCTTCCCACAGATTCCTGAAGTCACTCTGTGAGGAACATCCTCACAGCCAGAACATCCCCCCTCCTGGTTGGATCGGCCATTTGGAGCAGAGATCAGAAGCCACCCCTTCTATCAGCGCACTTAGCACAAGACGAGGTTGCCTTTTCTGGCCCCTTTTCCTTCTTTTCCTCTTATTGGTTGTAGAGACAGAGGTATTGCTTGCCCTGAGAAGAGACGGACAGTGTTGGTGTCCTGATGCCCTGAGGGTGTGCTATGAGGGAGGGTGGTTGTCTGCATCCCCGAGACGGGTGCTGTAGTGATAACAGCCCCTCCATGGCGCTACGTGCTGTGTCTGTGTTGCCTCATTGGAACCTCACAGCAACACCGCCAGGCATGACTGTTACTACCATCTTTGTTTTATTAATGAGGGAACTGAGGCAAGGCCACATGGACAGGAAGGAGAACCAAGATTCTAAGCACTTTAATCCCCAGGCTCTGCTGCCTCCTGCAGGGTCTACCGTTTACTTCACGCTCTGTAGCAGGGTGATTTATGTTACTAATCTGCATTGTGTTCTCAGGGTTTTTCTTCCTCCTGCTCCCTTCTTCAATCTTAAGTAGTGAGGCCTTTTACATTTCCCTCCATCCATCCTCTAAGCAGAAAAAGGAAGCTGCTGGCATGCTTTCTCTTGTCTTTTAGGGAAACGGATCTCACTGAAAAGGTGATGCTGGGAGAGCAGAGAGGGGAGGGAATGTGAGGTAGCCAAGAGGAGGAGTTAGTGAGTGAAGGCGTGGCTGAGTGAGGACTGGACACTCAGCTGTCCCCATGGCAGTAGCAAAGCCTAGAGGGACCAGCATGCCCAAGTACTCCCAGGAAACCGACCCAGTGCCAGGGTTCAGCAGTGGCAAGTGCCCGAGGGACCCTGTGTGCATGCAAAGCCTTTGGTTCTTGCTCACATGTCTGTCAGGGTGTGGGCAGAAAGTAAAGACCAGAGAGGCCTGGCCCTTTCCTGGGCACCAGCAAGGCCTCCTGGGTTATGGTTCAACCTCTGATGGTGTTGAGGGTGGTATCAGGGGGAATGCACCAAGGAGAGCTTAGAATAAATGTATCTGCAGATGGAGATGGGGGAGGATGGCTCAGAGCAAGATTTCATTTTACCTTTTATTTTAATTAAAAATTAATTAATTATAATTTTCACTTTAATGAGAAGAAATAGATATTTCTTATACTCTTGAATTTGTGGAGTCACAGTTCTACTTGCTACAAAATACCGTAAGTTTCACAAAATCACCATTCTCTTTGAGTGTATGCTCTCCCCTGGGAAAAAACAAAATCACAGCATCAGAACCAAAACCAGCGCTGGGGCCCTCTGTCCCATCAACGCTGGCTCTGGCTTCCATCAGGGCCTGCAACCAGATCGCTGAGAACCCGGGATTCTCGCAGCCCGGTGGTTACTGCAGGCCCAGCAGTGCTGAAGGACGTTTGCGTGGCAGCTGTTCAATAAAAGCTTGTTGGTGATTTTAAATGACTCCTTTAAAATCACCCCATAACTACCAGAGCCAAGCGTGTCTCTAATTTTGCATCCATTTATTTATCCAACACATCCTTCTGTGCCCGTTTTCTATTACCAAGTATTGCACTTTTCACTTACCTTTTTCCTCTATGTGTATCTTCCGTTAAATACATCTCCAATTTTTTTTTTACAAAGCTCTAGCCTCAAGACCGCGACGTGATGTTTGTGCTACAGGCGTGAGAGCGTAGGTGCATCCTCTCTTCTTCCTCCAGGAACGCACACACGCCTAGTGTACCAGCACCTGCGCTTCTCCGAGGGGCGGCACTGTGCGTGCTCAGGCTGCCAATGCCCCACTTCAGAGGGAGGGCTGGAGGAGCTGCCAGCTCTGCGTGGCCTCCCAGCCAGCGTTCAGTGAACCAGGTCCAAGAACGAGCAGCCCCTGACAACCGCGAACGCCCGGCCCTGCCATCTGCGTGGGCCTCACAACAGAGTCTCCTTGAAAAGAAACAGGTGCCCTCATTCCCAGGGCATCAAAAAGTCAGGCTGTGGCCCAAGGAAAACAAGGCCAAATACCTCAGAGGGGTCTAATTCAGTTTGTCACTTGGCCCTGTTAGTCTGGTTTGCAGGGGGAGCCCTGTGTGGGAAAGAGGGCTGAGTTAATCAGATGCAGGCGCTGAGAACAGCCACGGGAGAAGCAGGAAGGGAGAGAAGAGGAGGACAAGGTATTTTCTGTATTTCTAAATGTGGGTGGAGTTCATCTTTCAGGGAAGGAGAAGCATGCATAATGTGTTGTGTCGTTCCTGATCTTAGAAATGATGGCATGTGTGAAGCATAATCTGATCAGATGGACAGGCCCTTGGCAGGGTAACAAGCATGCTGGACTTGGAGCCAGAAGGACCCAGTTTACATCCAAGCTCTGCTAGTTAGGAGCTCACTGACCTTGGACAGTCTCCTCCAGGTCGCCCCACCTCCAGGCTGCTTCACCTCT